TTGGATCACAGCGGCCTCTAGTGGAAGACCTGCACAAGTGCACCATGTCTGAAGCGTCACAAGTCATCAATGAGCAGGAAAAGTGGGTTAAACAGTTTATTGAATCGATTTTTGCTGTTCAGAACTGTTTGTCATCTCTGGCTGACTTTAACAATGTGTAAAGAAAGAAAACTAATAAAGAGGGGAGCAGGGGATGAAAAAGAAACTATCAACATGATTTTAAAAAAATCATTAACATAATTGGCTTATGCACAACTTCCCACCCTACCCAATGGAAAAAAACAAATCCACCCTTGCCAAATGCTAAAATACTGTATCAAATAGGGGCGATTTAAAATGTAAAAACATAAAGGGACTAACTGCTACTTAAAAAAGCTGAAGGACGAAGAATATGCACAAAGTTACATAAGGGGAGACACAAGAGAAGTAATAACATCACACCTGACTGCTTCAAGGAGGCAACAGTAAACTAGAGACATCAAAGTAGATTCTCACCAACCAGCCGCTGCTCCTTTAGTCAGATGTTACTAAAATTTCCCCAACTGTGGAACTCGGTTAAGGAAAGAAACAGAAAAAAGGGTGCAAAACATAATAACAAAAGTAATCGTGTTATGATTCAAAATAAGCCCAGTTACCCTGTTTTTAGATTTAAAAGACCAGGTTGGGTCAAGGGTCGGGTTTACTACATCACATATAGAAAAATAAAAATAACAAGGAGGAGGAAAGTATGGAGTCTTTTTTTTTTTTTTTAAATCTTGTCTGCAAAATATAAATTACTAGTGCACACAAGGTAAATAACTCCTGCAGGAGATAATTAACTTGTGTGCACATCATAATATCCTCACACGGCACAGTAGGGGTTCTGTATTAATTCCTACTAATTGCGTGTGAACTTCTACCATAACACCAAGTCGTTATCCTTGTGCCGCATACAAAAAAATTCCCCCGATATGCACCCCTTGCATTGTGGCATATTCCAGGATAACATCACAACTGATATGACATCTAGCACCATTACAAAACCAAACAAATGAGAATTTTTTAAAAAAAGGAAATATTTGTGGGTGACAAAAACAAAACAGAAAGAAGAAGAGTGCTTTAAACATATCAGAGGCTAACATATTCACACAGCTACAGCGAAATGATGAATAATAAACTCCAGGGATTGTTTTAAATTAAATTAAAAAAACGAAACAAAAACACAAAAAGTTAGTTAAGAAAGGGGAGAGATGACAAAATAAAGCGTCGCTACACAGTAAAATCGTGCTATAGTGTTTTAAATATTGGCAGCAAAACAAAACAAAACTACCGAGGGGACAAGCTAGCTGTGATTTACACGGCTGAGAAGCTAAAATTAAAAGTGAAGTCAAATTTGGGATGCGAGGGGGGGGAGCTGTGAGTTGGTTTCCAGTCTGCATACAAGAAAAATTGTGCAAAATAAAGTTCATTTATTCATTTTTGTTTATTTTTTTTGCCGGCATCTGATTAGGTCTGTGCAGAAGTGTTGTTTTTCCTGAGAGGTAACGGTTGCATGAGCCTCGTTTTGAGATGAACGTTTTTTTTTTCTATTTGATGCATTTTTTAAAAATTGTTTTTTTTACTTGGACTCAAAGAAAGAAAAAAGAAAACAGGAAGCACGAGGCAGGCGGCTGGAAATCTGCTTTAAAACTGTCAAGTATTTGCCTCTTTCAACTTTTAAAGTCACCTTACAGGTATCTCTCGCTTATATATATATATATGTATGTATGTATGTATGTATGTATGTATGTATGTATGTATATTTGCTGTTTTGCAAAGCTTATGTACACTGAGTATACTCAGGCCCAAGCGCTCCCTACATGCCATGCCAATGCAAATATTAGTGTTCCTTTGGTTATGTAAAAAAAAAAAGAAAGAAAGAAATCTACATGCATCTCATTCTTTACAAAAATAAAAGTATAGAAAATTACAGTTAAAAATGATCTGAGAATGCTTCTTCCATGTGTAAAAAAACATCACTTGTCATTAGTAATATATTCATACGTATTAATATCTGATTTCCATCTAAACTGTATATTAAAACTATCATCAAATATATTCTTTTTTTGTACTTCTCACACAGTGAATTAATTTTTCTTTTCCAACGTTAGTACTGAATAATAAAAAAAACGTCCGACAATATATCGGGAAAATGTTAAATAGCAAAAACAAACCCTTGAGGGAGGGACTTTTTTTTTTCTTTCTCAAATTTCCTTCAAAAGATAGGTCTGCATAGCATCGTGTACCTGCGCAATTTGTACATTTACAGGATCATAAACTCTGTTCTTTTGAAATGGTACAACCTAATAAGGATGCATCTTTTAGTGTGGGGTCCCTGTGTTGCAGGAAACCTAAGTGCTTTGAAAATGCACAGACTCGAGGGAAATAAAGGAAGAAGAAGAAGAAGAAGAAGGAGTCAGGTTGGACAGTGGAGGCATGTCAGCTGTCTAGGACAATGTAATACTTGGCCAACCAATCACTCGTTAGCGTATGGATTTACCCTTGAATGCCCCGTGTGTAAATTCACAAATCCCATTTCTTCATTTTGTTAGTTCAACTGCACATCAGAGATTAAAAAAACAAAACAAAACAAACACCCTCTATCTGACACCTACCTTAACACAATGGATTGAAGTAAAAAAAAAAAGCCAAACTGCAAGTACATACCCTCTCAACTCTTTTCTCTAAAATCATGAATTTAAAATCGTACATTTAATCCTGGCAAGATGTGCAACCACATGTTTCATGCCTCCGGCCGTCCCATCTTTATCTTCCACCTGTTCACAACAGTCCTCTCGCTCTCTTTATCTGTATCGAGGTCGGTGCAGCAGGGCAAGTGTACCTCATTCAGACGAGCATTTGGTCTGGCAAGTCACGCCGAGCGGGAAAACTGGCCATTTCTCCAAAAATCAAAACAAAACAAAACAAACAACAACAAAAAACCAGTCCATCAAGTCTCTCAAACCAGCGCCTTTGAGATCCGGAGTACCATATCCGCCCTAAAGCTTTTGTCGTGTAACATAACTAAAGTGGAAACTCATTCCAGCCAGAGGGAGGGAGGAGGGGTGGGGACGGGGAAATAGGTGATTTGTCTTGTCAATCTAAAAAAACAAACAAAAAACAAAAACCAAACCAAAAACCATCAAGTCACACATTAAAAAAAAATAAATCAGTTTGCAGTGAAAAACAAACAAACAAAAAAACAAACAACAACAAAAAAGGCTAGCAGCCCAATCGTCCGAGTGTTATTTAAAAACCCCCAAAACAAAACAAAACAAAAATAAAAATAAACAGAAAGTTGTGCATAGTAGCCTGAATCTCCTCCGCGTCCTCTGCATGTCTTGGCACGTGATATGAGTGAGGTCTTCGTTTGTAAAAGTCCGAGAGAAACGGCGCGTTTTGAAGACAAGCATCTTCGGCCAGCAGGGAGGAGAGATCAACCGGTGGTTGCGTGACGTTATCTTGATGGGAGATTAGTTTCCTGTAAAGACGATAGAGAGGATCATTCACCTCGCTGTCGCTTAAAAAGGCCGTTTGAGAAGATCTGTTAGTCTGCACACAATGCTGTGAGTAATGAGCAGATCTTTGTGAAAAAAACTAAAAGGGGTGGACATGTAAAATATTCAATCTACAGTGACAGAAAAAAACAGAATAAAGATAAAAACGCTTTAGATTAGAAAGTCGGAAAATACTGAAAATACTAAGTTTTTTTCATTTAATATAATGTAGATTTTTTTTAAGGAGTTGATCACTGAAGGTCATTTTCACTAAATCCTAAATTAAAATGCTAAATATTCTCTAGATTTTCTGCTTTTCTTTACTTCGCACCACCGTGAATTGAATATATTTAAGTTTTCAACACCTAAAGACTATTTTTTTTTATTCTTTAGACTAGTAAATAGTTCGTGTCTCTGACAGTGGTTGGTGTACCTGGCTAACACCGTGTGGTCAGGTGAGTGATTAGCTGGGCACCCAGTTGTGAGCGGAGCCCTGCGTGGTGGTCGGTCCCGGGTAGCCTTGGCCTCCAGGCAGCATGGGGTCGAAGTTGAAATCGAGGCCGTCTCCGTCCATGAGGTCACTGTTGATTATGTAGTCCACATCGCAATCCAGGTTTTCGGTGAACATGTCAATGTCAATGTCCGTAGGGAGCCGATCTGGACCGGTGGGGAAGCAGGACGGCACTCCAAACTGACTGATTCCCGGCAGGGTGGTGATGGGCCCCCCGTGTTGCGAGCCTACGGCTGGTAGCGCGGCGTGTTGGGCTTTGAGGGCAGAGAGCTGTGACGGGTCCTGAGACAGACCTGAGAGGATCATCCCCATCTGAGAGTGATGCTGGTGTTGTTGCTGGTGTTGTTGGTGCTGCTGCTGCGCCGGTGGTGGTGGCTGCTGCTGCTGCTGGTGGTGAAGGTGATGCTGCTGAGGCTGCATCTGTGCCTGCAGCCCGATGGGGGACACGGTGTTCGGCTCCAACCCCTTACCCAACCTTACTCCTGCAACAGACGGACCCATCATTCCCACCCCTCCAGAATTCGGCATGATGGAATCCACTTGGGCCATCAGGACATCACTGGGAGGAGGGGAGTCGGAGGTGAGCAGCGCTTCCAAGCTGGAGGGTACGTGGGCGCTGTAATGGCCGCTCCCACGGGAGCTGGGGGTGGGCATTGGGTTGAAGAGGGAGTTGCTGAACGTCGTCTGCTCTTTGCTGCCGGGCCCGCAGGGAGACACGGAGGTTGTGGCCCTGGTGTGGGTAGGGGCCTGTGGGAGGCTGGATGAAAGCTGATGGAAGGAGGGGAAGCTGGAGCCTCGAGGCAGCAGGGTGGAGGCGGAGGGCAGTGGAGTGGGAGGTGCTGGTGGGGCTGTGCTGGGACTGGCCCCTCCCTGCTGTCCAGTCATCAGAGTGAGGCCATCGATCAGGTCCAGCTCCTCCATGAGCGTCTCGGTGAGGGTGGGGGTCAAGTTGCTGGCAGAGAACCGCCCCAGCAGGCCGTCATCAGGCAGGTTGTCGTCATCCTCCTGGCCCGGAGCAATGGGGGACAGACGTCCGCTCAGGGTGCTGGCGTTAGAGCTCGTGCGCGGGCGGAAGGTGGTCCACATATCCGTGTCGTCCAGGCTGCCGCGGGACGAGGGGCTGCTGCTGTTCACCCCCCATTTGGAGAACTGCTGGGATGAGTTAGGGCTGTCTGCGCCCGCCGAGCCCGTGGCACCATCGCCCTGCAACACACCTGCGGTGCCTCCCAGGCCGGCCGTTCCCGCCTGCTTCTTGGTCTGCTTGGCCCTCATGCGGCTCTTCAGCAGCTTACTGCTGTTGTCCATGGATGCAGCCCGGCGACGCGGCGCCTTGCCGGTCTTGCCTCCTTCGGGGTTGAGCATCCACCAAGAGCTCTTTCCGGTCGATTCATTGTGTACCCTCAGGAACTTGTTGTGGAGTGACAAATTGTGGCGAATTGAATTCTGAAAATCAAAAGGTAAAGAAACAAAAAAAAATGAATTGAATTGAAACTCACAGGAGAATCCAGCAACAGAAAAGATGCTGACAGAATGAAAACTTTCAGGATAAAAAGCATTTTAAACCTTATTTTGGAGCAAACTTTTCTACTTTTGTGTTTTTTAACAGATTTCACTTTTTATTCCGTGAATGCATTTTTACATCCAAGTAGCCACTGAAATTAAAGTTTATTTATTAAATAATGCTTTACAATAACTCCCCAAAGGTATTTCAAGGTGGTTGCAGAGTGGTGAAACTTGCTTTTATTACACTGGTGATTTGCAGATGAGAATAACAAAATTAAAGTATGGCTGTGGATATAATCTTTAGTAAAGGATTTTCAAAATAGTTTTTGTCTCATCTTGGATGACACAAAATGTATTTATTATCTCTGAAAAGGGTTTAAACCAAAACAGATGATCGTAGACGGTAACAAGCCCGAACAATTACAACTTTGTTTCGAAGGGTTTCACACCAACGCTTGCTGGGAACCACCCGTCTGTGCTAACAGTACAAAAATATGTCTCAAAATTCCCTTCAGAGCAAATCATTTATTCTACAGGAGTTAAAAAAGGTGTCATTAGTTATCCAAAGTTATTATATTTCAGATTTTTTTTTAAATTTTGTTTTCTATTTGTTTTTTAATGCTCAGCATTTTTTGCTTTTTTCATGTTGTTTTCACACATGAAGTTAGTTTATTCTCATTATAATCAGTTTTTGAGTTTGTAAACTTGTAGCTTTTTCAGGTGGTTTGGCTTATTTTCACAAAAATAAAACTCCAAATGAACTAAAAGAAAAAAATAATTTAAAAAAACGCATCACTTCAAATCGTGTGACCAATTAATGGACTCCCCCAGAAACATCCAAGTATTGGCCAGATTTGTCTGGGCCAGGAGCAACGAAAAGAGCGAACAGTAAGAAGGTTTTCTTGACTAGTGGATAAGACGGCGAATTTACATCCATTTTACAGTAAAGTAAAGTACTCTGCAGAATGCTACAGGAAGCTAGTTGTGTCAGATCGGGATCAGATCATAAACAAAATGCTCTGGAGTTCATTTGTAATCGGACTAAGACCACCTCATCCAGAGGGTCTCGGTGTGGCTGTTTTCGATTACAGGGTCCACATCAGTACAAATGAGTGTGGCCTCAGCTTTAGTTTTATTGAGGAGGTATCTGTGTCCTCCTAGCATAACAATATCAGAAGAGGTATTAAAATACAAACTCAACATGCTGTTTAGGCAGCCGGCGTGACGCAAACACCACAAGTATGAATAAACATCTGCACCAAAGCCTCCTCGTGCTTCTTGTAGCTTGACAAAATTGTCAAAAGTGTAAAAATGAAGATGTTTCCAGTGCGTTTTATTTAACTTGGACTGCTTCTTATTGATCGCTTGTTTACTCGAGCACTCAAAGCATGTACACAACATGCCTCATTCACACCAGCACTTCTTTTTCTACCTGGGTGCCTTCTATCTAACATTCAGGCTGTTCAGTATCTTGCCCAAGGATAACCAGAAGGTTGGTGGATCGATCCCTGGCTGCTCCAGTCTCCATCCCAAAAATCCTTGAGCATCCCTGATGCAACCATCAGAGTGTGACTGTTAGATAGAAAGCACTTAAGCATTTGGGGGGTGTTTGTGTAAATGAGGCATGTTGTATGAAGCGCTCCCAGTCCTCAGGTAGAGTAGAAAAGCATCTTTTTTCACCCAGTGATAGTCAACAACCAATGCCAACCACCTAGCAACTAGTAGCTGCATCACCTCCAAAATGTTTACAACTCTTAACAATGTGCACGAGGTCACGTGATTAACCTCAGTACTGCCTGTAAATGCCATCCAGGGGTTTTCCTTCCCGCTAAAAGGAAAATAAGCAGAACTGTGATTTATAATATGTTTAACCACTTTTCCCAAAGCTTATTTACTTAAAGTTAAGTGTTTTCGTTTATTTTTAAAACTAGGACAACCAAAATGGCTGGCCTATGCACAAACTTGGGTTAAATAAGGAAACACACACTCTCTGCCTTAACTCTTAATGCAGCTCTGTGGTGTGCCAGGAAAAACTCTTACTGACACATTTACCTGATGGACCTAAGTGTTTATTTTATTACAGTTCAGCTTAACTCTTAAAACTAAAAGGCCCATAAACATAAAGATAACCTTGGCAGTGTACTGACTCAGATGATTCCCTGCAGATGAAGCCCTCACCTTCCAGCCGGCTGAGCTGTTGCTGTCTCCTTTGTCTCTGAAGTAAGGCACAGTTTTCACCATCCACTCGTATATCTGCGCTAGCGTCAGCCTCTTCTCGGGTGAGTTCTCGATGGCCTGGCTGATCAGGTCCGCGTAGCTCTGGTTCCCCCACGCGTTGCGCCGGGAGGATCCTTTGCGTGGCGTCGCTCCGGGTCCGCCCACGCCGGCCACGACCCCGCCCTCCACGGACGCCGCAGCCGCTTTCTCGGGCTCGGACGCAATTTGCTGGGGCTCGGGCTTGTCCTCGTCAGCGGGCGGGGTCCCGGCGGCGGACTCGGCGCCGTCCGCCCCCTCCGACTTGACAGCCGTGATGTCGGGCCTCGGCAGCGGCCACGTGCAAGAGCGAGGTCTGCTCTGCGGCTCAAAATCTGGGTCAATCGGGGGCACCGGCGACTCCTCCATGGCGGTCCTCTGAACTTCCACTCAGAGAGGTGTTCAACTTAAAACATTTAAAGTTTGACAGGTAAGTTTGAGCCGATGACACCTTAAGAGAAAACAAACACACCACCTTTAAAATAAATAAATAAACAAACAAAAATAAACAAACAATATGCTTCACCCTCGGCGGGGGTGTCAAGCGAAGGGCCTAGAAAAGAGACGTAATAATCTGGACACGCCAATAGCCTCGGTTAATCCTCAGATTGGAGATTAGGGAACCCAAATAATCTCCTTAATAGTAACTATCATAAACCTTCAGATTTATATAGAAATAAGGAGGGCTGGGGCGCGACTCTCTTTGTTTGACTGACATCTAAAAAGATAGTAGCACAATGACAATGTGCACCAAAACATCTGGACCTAGACGGGGTTTGGGGCCGCATCTGGAAATTAATAATAATAATGATAATAATAGGCTATATTTTATATATATATATATATATAAACATGTGTGGCTAAAAATAGAAATTGAAGCCATTTAAAATCGCTTACATTGCTATATTTTACTTTCAAGAAGAGAGTGGTTTATATGCGGGTGGAGATTTTGTAATTATTGCGGATTAAATTTGTGAACTTACACGTGAAGTTTTCTTGTAAAACTATGCAGTATGCATGCGAGGATTAGCTGGCTGCTGTTACAAAGGAGCTTCTGGCTGTTCTTGTAAACAACCGGGCAGTCTGAGGTCTCCACAAGACCAGCAAAAAAGGGAGAGAAAACGACCAAAGTTTATTTATTTATTTATTTTAAGTTCCGCAGACATCCACTAACCGGTGCGGCTTAGTCAGTCAAAGTGAAGATGTGCGGCGGCTGACTGTCCGAGCTGGCGGTCTGTTCAACACTGCCCCGGTACGCTGGCACACGTCTCTGTCTGTGTTCTGGTGGAAAAAACGAGCCTCCGGCGAGGATAAGATGTCAGTAAGGACGCTTCGGGGTTTGTTTATAACACTAGAGAGATGACAGAAACGTGCAAAGAGAAGTCCGCGCCTCAGGTCTGCACGGTCCGCCACATTGCGGTCGGGCGCATGTCACCATCTGCCATGTTTCCCCACAGTCCTGCCGCGGCACACGATACTCGAAGAAGCGGGTTTTAAAAAGCCCACTCGACCGCAGCCCGGAACTCAGCCGACCCTCGTCTCGTTGTGTCGCTAACCAAGCCTCGCAGTTTCTCCGGGGGCGCTTGGGTGAAACTGGGGTCGCCTGCAGGTCTGTCGGCTCCCACTCGCCGCACTTTGAAAACAGCACCGATAGCCTCCGTAACGTTAGCCGCTTAAGCTCCTGCTACTCCAGAGTTTACAATCCGTGGAAAAGTCCGTGAAAAGCCTCCGATAACTTCATCCAAGTTGCCGTTCCTAGTCCGCGCTGACTTTTGTAAAACTTCCTGCTGTTGTGTCGGTACAAATATTCACTCCTTCGGGATCTTTTCGACTTGTTTTGTTTTGTTTTGACTCGAGGGAAGACTCCCTTCTGACGTCTGTTTACCACTGTCAGGCAACGCACACTGCGCCTGCGCACAATGGAATTCTGGGAAGGCGAGTCCTGTGTGTGGCAGACGGTTCCGACGTAAACAGCCGCGCTCGATGGCAACATGTACCTGTAGTGGAACATTATGTAACAGTTTATGAACGTGTCCTAAGTACTCTTAGGCCATTTAAGGTATTACCGGTAATTAGAGACACGAGACAAGAAAAGACTGCAAAATTATATTATTTCCTTATTTATACTTATAATCTTTATTTTTTTTGTTTTTTCTTTTTTCTCGTTCGTTGTGGTTCCTTTGTCTATTTCCTGTTTTTTCTAGTTTTTTTTGTTACCTTTTGTTAATTTTTTTTTATTTTGTTTTGTTTAGTTTTGTTGTGTTTTATTGTTTTTTTTTATTTTATTTTATTTGATATTTTTTTTTAACTTTATGTAGTTATTTGTGATTTATTGTAATTTTCAGATTAGTTACATCTTACTAAGCTATATCCTAATTTAAGCTATTTGTTAATGCTATTTAAAAACATATTGTCTTATTACCTGGGAAATGAATAAATAAGATTTTATGGTATTTTATAAATAATTATATTAATTAGCAATATGTACACTCAGGAGGAGTAGAGACACCAATCTATTAGGCACTGCATCAGTAAGTACATTATGTGTAAAACTGTGCCAAATCAAATATGCAGTTCTACCCACTGTGGCTACTACAAATAAAAAACAATTTTGCATCCATAGGTAATTCAGAACCCACCTCAAGTGTGTTAAAAATCGAAATCTATCCATTTTCTTCCACTTATTCAATTCAGGTTTGGTTGAAGCCTATACCACTCGCCACAGGGTGAGAGGTGGGGTACACCCTGGACAGATTGCCAGTGTATCACAGGACTAACACATAGAGACAGAGAACCATTTATATTTACATTAACACAGACACGTGAAGAACGTGCAGACTCCACATAGACAAGGCCCCAGACTGGATTTGAACCCGAGAACTTTAAATATGAAATCGAAATGGATGAAGAGCGACATAGTCTTCATTATAGGCCTCAGGCCAGAGTTAAATGCAAGGATTTGGGTTGGATCCAGTTTGGCACAGGCCATGCCACCACTGAAGGTCTGTGGTTCAATAACATGTTCTTTCAGTTCACATGTTGGAGTGTCCTTAGGCAAGATGTCGCACCTGATGCAAGCACCGAAGAGTGAGATAAAAACATTATAACGTGTACTGAGTAAAGCTTTGTATGAATGTGAATGGCTGGATGTGGATACTAAATACCAGTCAATTAAAATTAAAATCTTGATATTCCTATTACCAAAAACATAGGTATATTCATTTATTTATTGGTTTATTTATATATCATGACAGAGTAATATATGTGGAACAATAGAGTAGTCTGTGTTATAAATGGAACGAAACAAGAGATATGAGGAGGGCACTTACATTAAACCTCATGAAAAACCTGCTCTATTTTCAACTTAAACTTTAAGACTTTTTGTGAATTGAAAATGTGATGATTTCTTTTAAGTTTCCACTCAGGCACAGTGTATCTCTGTATGTATTCTGTAAGTTATATGTTCAGTTATTCAAAACATAAAAAAAAAAAAAATGCTTGGGCCAACCTAGTTTTTAGGTCTTGGATGATCCAGGCATGCTACAGGTATGTGTCTTAACCATCAGGATACCCGATGCTCCGCGTGAAGCTAATGCATACTCAGTAACCCTAGGCTCATGGCTGGTAATCCAGCTTTCTTGTACTAGATTTATGCTAGACTTTAGTCACGGAAGTCTCCTCTCAGAGCAGTCTTCAGGTTTTCAGTGAGCTGGTTCTACATTCTATTTCATGAAGACCATGAAATTGATACAATACTAATAAATGGGCATGTGAGTTGAGATTATTGATCCCTTTGTGTATGGATACTACTCTGGAAATGTTATGATAACCACACAAGCCAGAGTACTCCCTGTGATGCCTGGATAAATGGGAGGGTTGTGTTAGCAGGGGTATGCAGTCTAAAATCTGTGGCACATCAAACACGTGGAGACCCCTGGGGAAATAATGGAGCTCCACAGAACTGTACAGAGGACATGTGGCATCTTTATAGAGGGAAGGGACAGAGTTGTTCTTCATGCTTTGCTATGGCTTTCACTGGGACAAGACCTCAACCCAAATAAACACAAAGAGGAGATTTTTGGATCCAAATCAAAAAATCAGGAAAGATCTTTTAAATAATGGTGTTGCATCTCTGCAGGAGACCTCCAGAGACACTTTATAGGTTTTTTTCCTTTAGTCTGTCACCCGTCTGACTCATGAAGCAACGACACATAATCGAATACAGAAGCCTTTTTTTTTTAAGAAGACTCAACTCTCAGATGGTGTTTTCTGTGTTTTGGTCTTTGTGTGGTGAGAGCTTAATGAGCAGTGAAAAACTTGTAAATTAGGAAGTGAGAAAAGGCTTAGCTTACTCCACCATTGTTTATTAAAGGCAGGTACATTAGCCCGTCTGATCTCTCTTTGAATGGTTCGTGCTTTCACCTCCACATACCTTTTTTTGTGGTAATCCTTTTTCATTTTGAATACTCGTGTGGCTTCCTGCTCATTGTGATGAAAAGTAACACACCCCACCGATACTGCGCTTAATCTCCATCTTTAATGTTTGTCTTTAAATCCTGCACCCTTCCTCATTAGCTGAGTCATAATTCAGAGGAGGTAGGTAAAAGGCTTCCTGTGTAAAATGCTTCAGTGGCACCAAGTGTCTGACTGCCAGGTGCAGACAAAGTTTGTCTGCCGCTCTGCTATGACTAATGCTCTGTAAATGCACATGCTGCAGGATCAACATGTGCAATCAACATGTCGATTAGCTCTGTCTGTGTGTGGTTGTGCACCCTTTAACCCCAAAAGCAGACTCGGTGTGAGTGTTTGTGGTGTTTTAATTCACATTAAACACATTTTTGTAATTCAGTTTTTTGAAGTTAAGGCTTCAACAGGGGCTTACAACAAAAAAGGTGAATGTAGCACATAGGTCATGAGTCTGCACAGGAAAGGGGTCAGAAAAAACTCATCTATATCACTGGCTTATTTTATCCCATCTCATTTAATTACTTGGTCCACTGCCACGTTCAGTATTGCGCAAGCCTAAAATTTGATAACCTGGTTCAGCGGAAGTTTCACAGTCTATTAAAAGCTCCAAGTGTATTTTGTATGAACACTCTTCCTCAGCTGTCATCTGGTAATTCTACTGCAGTCCATTTATATGAGTTTACCTGATAACACTATATGGAGCGGCAAATAAAACATTGGTGATACAACCTGTGAAAGTTTACTGCCCTTAATTTCTTTCTGGGGAATTCTCATAAAACAGATAAAACATTCACTGTTTCAATTTTTTTTTTTCTATTACTCTGTCACTGATGTTAAATTAGTGCAGCAAGGAAACTGTGATTATATCTCAACGCCTTGATTCATACCACTCAAGTGGCCCTTAAAAACTTGCATGAGGGTGGGTCAATAAACCTCAGGACCACTTTGAACGAGACAGCCCCGTTGTGGCAGAAATCTCTTGAATGAGAAGTGAAAAACCTGCATACCATCATTACTCAGTGATCTCCTGATGGTGGACTTGTGAACAATGGCATTACTCAGTGTGATAGAGGCCTTTAGTTACTGGAATCCTGGGTTTCCTTTTTACATCAAGGACTTTTACAACCTTCAGCTACTCCTGTGTGACAGTGTGATGTGGATTAGTTGTGATGATCAGACCGATCAACACACCTGATTCTAAATTCACCTTCAAGTTGACTGTTCATCCTAGAAGTTCGCAAACTTTTGTTTATATTGGATCATTTCATACCAAAGCTTTCATCCATTTGTCTAACTTTATGACTTAAACATTTCAAAACATTTTGGGTCATATTTATGTATAGATATGAAAATAATGTATTTAACTGTATTTAACCTTTAACCATCAAAAATGAATAAACTTACTTTTACTTACTTAGACTTAGTTCCTCCTGCACCGGATGGCGCATTGGGCGGCAAGGGATCGCCAACGAGCTCGGTTTGCAGCCACATCTTCAGCCTCGTCCCATGAAAGATCGACCGCTTTTAGGTCCTCAATGAATGACTGTCTCCATGTCTGTTTTGATCTTGATACGAAATTTTGAAAATCCGTCGGAGGCCGCGCTGTTGGAAAACATTTAGTCGTCGGGTGATTGTTGCCGTCGACTTCCATGTTACACTCGCATAGATAGCCATTGTTACGACTATTGTATTGAACAAACGGACTTTGGATGATATCGAGATGGTGGTCGATCTCCAAACCAGATTCAAGTTGCGCATGGCCGATGCTGCCTTTCCGAGCCGACAGGCGATGTGCTTGTCCAAGCCACCGTCCAGTGTTATAACACTGACCAGATTGGACCAACGTTAACTGGAAGGTCATCCACGGGGCGGAAGGCGTATTGTCGACATAGGTCCCGGTTGATTCAGGATTTCCTCAAAATGCTGGACCCATCGTTGGTCTTGTTCCTCCGCTGTTGTTAAGAAGCGGCCATCCTTGCTCTTGACTGGTACTCCACTGCCGCTTGGAGCACCGCTCAATTCCTGAACAATTCGATAAAGCGTTTTGGTATCATTCTTGTTTGCTGCCTCTTGCGCTTCTTGTCCTTTCCGTCCGATCCAATCCCGTTTGTCCCGTCGGCAACTCCGTTTGACCATTTGATCTATCAGCCGATAACACATGTCCACTGCATCCAAGACTTGTCCTGGTGGCTCTTGTTCACATACTTGCTTTACCTTGTTCCGCTCATCAATAAGGTCCCCCATCCAATCAAAACTGGCTGGCCATTTCTGGATCCTTGAGACGAGTGACGTCAAAAGGCTTGGGGCGCTGACCGTTGGACACTGTTCTCGTGAGCCAGAGTCGACGCTTGGCGATGAGTGGTCTGAGCCGGTGTCCGCGCCCTGCCAACATCGCACGTCGAGTAACGATGACCGCAATCGTCTCCGTACACAAACGAAATTGGTTTCATTTTCGTATGTTCCTCCCGCCAC